CTCACTTTCTAGCCAGAACTCAGAGACATGCCGGAGTTTTGCCACGAAGATGCTCGTAAACAGCTAAGATCATTAAGCATAATTTGGAGGAGATTTCTTAAGTTTTTGGAACTAATGCGAGGCAATTAGGGTTTCATCTTTTCCAGCCAATTGGCGGCAAAAGGCGATCGATGGCTGGCTTTTGGCCCGAAGCTCTAGTCCGGTCCACATGCAGTAGAGATCCCCATCGGAGTCTCCATTATGGTGAGTTGTGCAGCAAAATTAAATCAATCAGAGATAATCTGTCATGGTAATGGGCGCCTGTCCAGCTCCAGTCTCTCAGTCTCCCAGCGTATGGCCCCCAGGCCATCGGCTTCGACTCATTTAAGTGATTCGTGTAATTATTTTAAACAGCCGCAGTGTAAATTTCGTTAAACATTCATCTCCGCTCGGGACTCGGAGCATATCTAGGCCCGTTTTGGGCCTAATATGACAGGTAAACAGTTGAGGCCAGTGATAAATGGCCAGCAATGCTTTGGAACTGAACCACATTTAATTGTCTCAGGTCTCAGGTCTCAGATCTCGGGTCTCTGGGGGGAGTGAGAAGGTAAATGCAAAACTTTCGATTGGTATTGTAAATATGACTTTAATGACTATAAAAGTCAAAACTGGCTTTAATTCCGAGAGCCACACACTCTAGAGGCGTTCGGCAAGCTTAGCCAGTCAATCATTAATCACTCAATCAATCATTTCGCCAAACGATTCCTGGCAGCCTTCATTGTCCTGTTGTTTTCGCCAGAAGAAGAACCTCCAGCTTTTCACTTCGGTCTCCAGCTAATCAACATCCCTGATTCCCCCCAGACCCACTCCTTGTTCCCAGAGTTCCCCCTGGTTAGGCTGAATCTACGCAGCCTTGTCAACATGTCGTTAACACAATTTCCATACCAGATTGATTGGAATGCCAGTCTCGGAGTGAAGGCTGTCTTTGTGGGGGAAGTGGGTGTGTTGGGAGAATCTAAAGGAAAATTTCGAGATTCTTCTGGATATAGAAATCATTTTAAAGGGCTTATATCTTTTATGTTCCAGCACTCAAGTTGATTAAAAACATATTCCAGGATTGTTCAACTAAAAAGTTGAACAACAGTAGTAGTTAGGCAAGGTCCAGAATAAATCCGTTTATGAAATTTCGTTTGAATATACATATTATATGGGAAAAACTTAGCAATAGTCAAGAAAATAACATATAATGATGTATTTACTAAGTTAGTAATCTAACTTTTACTTTTTATTAGATTTTAGTAAAAGTGAAATGATATGACTTTGGTTTTGGTTACCAGAAACTGAAGTCATGAAGATCTTACCATCACTTTTGTAATACAGACATTAACCTTCAATCTTTAACGAAACATTAGTTTAGTTAGACTGTTTAAATAGGGAAATCAAACTTAAGAATTTCATTAAGAATATAGAAACCAAACTACAAAGGGTAGTTTTAAGGCTTAAATGGATGGCTGGCTAGAAAAGCTTGCTGGTGCTAGAAAAAAATCAGTTTTTAAAACAGGAAAAACCTAAAAATATCACATAACGTATTCAAGAATGTCAGCTTGAGTTTACCTAAGCCTAAAATCCCTGAACATTCTATTAATACTTCATGTGCCCATTCCCATGATTAGCATAAGCCTAATCATAGATATTAGTCCACTAATCAGTGGCTGTGGATACCACCCATTTGGCATAATATTATTCGATCGCAGACTGCCGGGCTTCTTAATTTTATATCACAAACTTTTGATGGCTGGCTTAAAGAAGCGAGCTGAAAACAAAGAAAATCCCATACTCAAGGCATGGTGGTTCCTCTATACACATATATATATATACATTCGCATTGGTGGTCGTAATGTGCCTGTGGATGCGACATCATTAATCACGTCTCACTGTGTTGCCTCGTGCAGCAAGTGAACTTCCTTCTGCCGCCGCCTGACAGTCGCAACTGATTGCTGGATCTGAATTGGGATTTCGGACTCAAATGCCCCGGACAAAGAGCAGGGAATAGCAACAAACACACGAATAGTACTTCTCCCCCATTCGTGGCATCCTTTTTGTGCCACATCCCATCCTCCCTGCTGTTGCAAAGCTCTCAGTGACGCCCCTTCCCTTGCCAGTCCTGAGACTTTCCCTTGCCACCCACCTTGAGTTTCCATCCACCTAAAGAGCTGTGTCAGAGCTGAGGAAATTCAATGTAGCAGCCACTAATGCCGCTGAGTTCAGAAGTTCCTTGAGCAACGGCCAAGAAGGAATCAAATATGCTGAAGATGCAAATGCAAACAGTCAAGGAAAGTGCTTTGGTTTGAATTTAAAAGGAAGATTTAGGATTTAGGAAGATCATTTAATTCAAAACTGCAATAAAAATTGAGAAATAATGTAGTTAAAAGTGAGAGTTCACTGAGTATGAATTACAGAAGGCAGAATCTTGCATTTAAGTTGCTTTTTTAGCATGAGATTAAGTTTATGAAGAAGGATTTTGCTATATTATCCTTAAAGGCTTAACAGCTTTGCTTTGCTTAAAATGAAACAAATTAAGAACTTAAAAATGTATCATTCTTAATGCTATTCTTCTTTGAACTATACAAATCTATAAGAATGTAAGAATTAGATATAAAACTTGTTGATATATAAGATCAGATTTTAAAATTATTACTATAATGGATTTTTGAAGGAATAAGGATATGAGAACTGTAAGATAATTAGAGCTGTAAGGATCCTCCCAGGAAAACTTCCATTTGGTAAGTAAAAAATAAAAGCATAAAAAATTGAAGAAATAAAATTCAAATTCAACTTGGACCACCAATCAGATCAAAAACTTTATTGTTAACATTCTAAACACCTTCGTTACACCCCCATGATATATTAGCAGGTCTATTGTACAGTTTGTAAACAAAAAGAAGCGTAATGAGCCAGACAATACTATTAGTTAACATGCAAGTCCCATTAGTTAACATTCGCCAGTCAATTAATCCGAACACTTTAAGGTGGAGTGAAGAGCTGAAACCAACATTTACACCTCTCAGCCTGGCCAACGGTCCGCAGACTAAATTTAAGTTTTATACACTTAACTGGCCTAATGGCGTTTTGATGGTGACCATCAAAATCGAATCAGTTGGAAGTCGATTAATTAGTGGCCCTGCCTCCTATATTCCCCGTTAACACATGCAACTGACGGCGGAGGTGGCTCAGCACGTGGACCCAATCGAGAGGGGGTTAAGGTATTTTTGGTGGTTTTATGGGCGGTTCAATTATTCGGCAATTAGCCAGAGTCACAGAGTCAGAAACACACGCCCAGAAGTGTGACTCGAATTTATGTTTGTTTTGGAAGGAGTTGGGGTATACTAGCCTAGAGGAATCTCTATAGTAAGATATATCTACTTTATTTTATTACATTTTCTATTATTCCAGTTAAGGCTCCCCTTCACTCATCCACTTTCCTCGTAATGCCTCTTACAGTCAGTCTAAATATTTACTAAAAACATTATTAAAGCGTTAAATGCCCGACCTTCTCGCCGTGCATTATACAACAATCATTCTATCGATTTTCCATGTTTTGCCTGCTTCATTTGAATAACTGCCCGTCATCGCCATAACAACAACAACAACAACAACAACATCAACAGCAATGGAAAAATCACGGTAGTAATGATAACAACAATAACAGCCTTAACCCTAGCGAGACCACAACAATAATCACATAGGAGAACATTATGCCAAAGTGATATTCGTCGGTCGTTCGATTGAAATTATTGCAAGTCAGCTCAGACTCTCCAACTCGGTAGCTGGATTCAGTCGGAGAAATCGGCATACCATAGTTCCCTCCCTCCTCTTCAAGATCAATACTGTTCTTATCCCAGACTCCGCTGCATCTCCTCTGTAGGAGCCCGTAGGAACCCATTTCGGAAAGTGGAAAATAAATGGTCTGGTCCATATCCACACTTATGTCTTGTCCGGGATCGATGAAAGCCCTCTGAAAATGGGCGGCGCTTCTTGGACCGCAGCCAGACGACTTTTTCACCGACTTCAGTTTTCGAGCGTGCGCCATGACTGCGTAGGCACCAACACATTTGCAGGCAAAAGCAACCGAAATTTAGTGTTCGTGAGAGGGTCGTACAGTCGAGGTTGGGTATAAAGGTATGGATGAGCGCAACAGACGTGGGCTGTTAGAAGAGATTTATAATAAGCTCTTGGCCATTTGAAGTTAAATATTTTGTGGTTTGGTTAATAATTCATTAAGGAAGGGTACCTCCATAGCTTATTTTGTACATGTTAGCGATTGTGCTCCCTTCGTTGTTGATATTTCTGTTTATATAAATTTTTTCAATTTTAAAATAAGAACAAATTACCCATCTTTAAAAATAGCATAAAGATTTCCAATAACGAATTCATTTCCGTTGCAAGTTTAATGTGTTTTAAGAAACTTGTTTAAAATTTGAGAAAACATATTTTTAATTAGCTATTTGCTCTGTGACTTGTACATTAGAGGCACATATATATATATATATATTGAAAGTTCTAGAACCGTAATGAAACGTCAAAAACAAATCCAAAAAAAAACCTTTATTTTTCACTCCCATATCCCTGAACTAGTTCAATATTGCCTGCCACCACTGTAACCACCACTCTGAATGGGTGTGACCAAAGTCATTGCCATCTCGCTCTGGCCCCTAAGCTCCCTCCCTGTCGCACAAGAGAGAGAGAACCACGTTCGGTGGTGGAAAATGGCGACCGAGGAAGGAGGGTGAGAAAAGAGCGAGCAGACATGGCTGCGGTAAGTGTATGGCTCTCCTTCCATCGCGCTGCGTGTGTGTGTGTGGGCCGTCCTTCGGTAGTAGCTGCTGCAGTGGAAACCCGTTTTGATGGCGATGGCGGTGGGAGAGAGCGAGCGAGAGAGCGAACGGGCGAGCGAAGAGTGGCGAAACAGGTTCGCTCGCGCGGAGAGCTAACACCAGCGAGCATAACAAAAAATCGGCTCGAATGGAACGGTTCGTGTTTGCAGCGCACTCGTAAGACCGAAGCGTCCGACTTTTCTCCCAGTGTGTGTTTTAAGTTCATAAAAAACCTATTTTTATAACCGGAAAATAGCGCCATTGTCAAGTTTCTCGGAATCACCAGATTCCAAGGCTTTCAAAAGTGCCAACAAAAAGTGCAAATCCATAAGTTCTCAAAACAATAACCGTGAAAAACGGATATATCGTTAATAAATAACTAAAAATAAGTGTGATTTAAATCAAATAACGAATCTAAGTTTTGTAAAACCAAAAGGCAATAGCAAAGAAAACCACAAGAAGTGGTTAACCCTAACCAATAGTTACTGTACTAAAGCCAAAAGATTCGGAATATGTGCAAACCGAGTGAAAGTGTCTAAGAAAATAGCAACAAAGAATAAATCCAAAAAGAAAACCCCCCTGGAGCACCACGATCCCACAGATCTCCCGTCATGAGCTCTTTCCTCATGGGTTACCCGCATGCTCCACATCATGTCCAAAGTCCCATGTCCATGGGCAATAGCCTGGACCCCAAGTTTCCGCCGGTGGCCGATGACTATCATCACTACAACGGACACTATTCGATGACCGCTTCCACGGGCCACATGAGCGGAGCCGTCGGCGGCGGTGGAGTGACAGGTGTTGGGTCGGTGGGCGGTGGTGGAGCCGGTGGGATGTCGGGACATCCGCATGCCATGCATCCGGCGGACATGGTCAGCGACTACATGGCCCACCACCACAATCCGCACAGCCACTCCCATTCCCACACCCACTCGCTGCCGCACCATCATAGCAATAGTGCGTTGTCCGGACACCACCAGCCATCCGCCGGCGGTTATAGCTCCAACTACGCCGCCGCCACTCCGCCCTCACATCCGCACTCGCATCCGCATGCCCATCCGCACCAGAGCCTCGGCTACTACGTACACCACGCCCCCGAGTTCATATCCGCCGGAGCGGTGCACTCGGATCCCACGAACGGTTACGGCCCGGCGGTAAATGTTCCAAATACCAGCAACGGCAGTGGAGGCGCTGGAAGCGGAGGAGTGGTCGGAGGTGGATCAGTGGGTGGATCGGCAAATGGATACTACGGCGGATACGGCGGGGGCTATGGGGCAGCCAACGGCAGTGTGGGCAGCACCCACTCCCAAGGACACTCGCCACACTCTCAGATGATGGATTTGCCCCTGCAATGCAGCTCCACGGAACCGCCGACGAACACGGCGTTGGGATTGCAAGAATTGGGTGAGTAGATAGTAAATGGGAAGACTTGCAATTTGCTCAAAGATGAACCTAGTGGTTTAAAATTGTTCTCTTTAGTCTAATAGTTACTTTTAGATACTCAAAAACCTATTTCCTATATATAACACGCATGTTCTCCAAGGCAGATACACCTTGCACTTAAAAACTTTAATAAAACGTTAAATTTCCAGTTAAAACTTTGAATCACTCCAATATCCGTGACGTTTCATTATTAATCCATCCACCAGCAGTTTCTTTCTATGCAAAATGTTGAAGTTGTTTATGGAGAAATAATTTACAATTAACTAGAAATTTGCTAACAAGTTCGTATATATTCGCCATACTGAAAAATATCTTTGAATAAAAGAATACTTTATATTATTTTCAAAAAATTGGAATATAGATTGATAATTGATAGATTGGTTGGAACAACAATGTCATTTGAAGATTGTCTGAACTTTAATATTTGTTATTATTTTATGTTTCCTTTTCAAGAGTTCAAAACTCTTTAATTGTGTAAACATTGAGTGTCTTTAATACCGCGTTTCACAATTGTAAGCCTTTTATCAATAGCATCTGCATAAAACCAGTATAAGAAATACAATATAGAAATATTCCGTTTTGTGAATACAAAACTATTCTCAGCTTTCGATGTTCAACAGGAACTCATAAGAATTTTACAATTTCATATCACATCTATTAGAAAATACATACAAATAGATACTTCGATTCCTAATTGCCTTAATAATAATATTATAAAAAAATTCCCCGTAGGCCTAAAACTAGAAAAACGCATTGAAGAAGCTGTACCTGCCGGCCAGCAACTGCAAGAGCTGGGGATGCGATTGCGCTGTGATGACATGGGATCCGAAAATGTAAATACCCTGCAAATATGTACTACTCCAAGAGAACGGATATAATCAGTGTTTTGATTGACTTGTTTAGGATGACATGTCGGAGGAGGATCGGCTCATGCTGGACCGATCTCCAGACGAACTGGGCTCCAACGACAACGACGACGATCTGGGCGACTCAGACAGCGATGATGATCTGATGGCGGAGACGACCGATGGCGAACGGATCATCTACCCCTGGATGAAGAAGATCCATGTGGCGGGAGTGGGTAAGTTGCTCCTCCTTCTCCCTTTCCCTTTTGCGCCCTCATCTTGTGGCCCATTTTTCGGGGTATGCTAATTAAATTACTTAGCTGCCAACACCCACTTGATCCACTGACAGGCCCCTGTAATGTTCGTTCTTTGGCGAAAACAGAAATGAAAATAAACAAAATAAAAGCCAAAGCCAAAGACACCAACCAACCAAACCCACAGGAAAAAAAGAAAACTGCGACTTCAAGCTCATTAATCAAAATCAAGAGTGCCACGCCTTGTGTCGAGGGGCGAACCGTGTTCACCAAATGACAAGTTCCTGTACATACTGCTCCTATATAATGTAATGCACATATCGCTGACTGTGTTCCACTCGCCTGCAATCAGCACTCCATTGGCTCCAGCTCCTGGTAATAAGCCCTCTTCACTGGTTCTTTCAGCACTTGAACCGACTTAAAGTCAACTTGGATTGTTGTCAATTGATACATCATACGAGTATATATACAGGGAGATCTGGGGGATCCAGAATTGAACTGCATAAGAATTTGTATAGAATATTATAAGAATCTATATAGTATATTATATGGAACAGGAAGGATGACTTTCAATATTTACTTTCATCAAGACAGTAGGCTACCTATAGTAAGGGGTGTCCCTATATACTTTTCCGAACTACGATTATATTGCCAAAAAAGTGAGATTGCTAAGAAAGAGAGACTCTTGGAAACTAAAGCACCTTAAGAACATCAACTTTAAATATTACTTTCTTACTTTTGAAACTACAAAAACCCCTTGCCATTTTCTTACCTGACATATCTATTCAGTATATTCTATACTTTCCCATACCCCCAACAATGCGATTTCCAATCAACTCAGTGACTCACACCGATTCATTCTTTAAGCCCAACAATCAGAGCTTACATGAATACAGTTCTTGGCAGAAAAACCTGAATGCAGCATAGAGTAAACTCAGAAGTGGAGAACAAGAACAGGTTTCTACTCGATGATTCCATTCACCAGATCCCCAGACCGACTGAATGGACTTCGTTGAGTTGGTTGACAGTGCTGGCCGGGCAGAGATAATTACCCTTAATTGTCGCGCCCAAAACGGGGAATTCATTCAGCCATGTGTCGAGTGTGTTACCAACAATATCCACCGGCCAACTGGCGATTGTCGCCGCTTATTGTTTTAATAATGCCGCATTGTGGATGCCTCGGGGCGGCAAGTAGGTGACGAATGCATTTACTAGGGGATCGGGAGGAGGAGGCTCGAAAAAACTGATAGATTGCTTTTTAATTAGCACAGTGTCGGAGTACTCCAGTTCGACCATAACCTTGACCCAAATGGGTAATTATATCGTTTCGCTTAACGCCACTCCGACTGGCTCATTGTCAAATGCCTCATCGGTTCATCGGTTTCCCAGTGCCCACTCCAGAGATTTGTCTCACTAGGGAGTTGTCTTTGCACTGGGAGAAATTTGAGATTCGAATGTAATGAACAAGAGATATTTTCTGATTTCTCAAAAGATTTTCTCGTAGTGGCAGACACAAAAAATCGAAGTAGTTCGTCAGACAGTGGGACAGACAGGCAAGCGATCGCTCAGGGGCATATTTGACAGAGTCGCAAGGTATATGTTATACCGACTCCGCTTCGTATTCAGATTCAGATACCAATTCCGATTCCGAAAACCCCCTCCACCGCCGTCGAGACCAAACTCCGACTGAGTGACGGATGGTCCGTGTCATTTGATGTTAATGTTGTGACATTTATCATGAGCGCACGACCACGAGAACAAGACGAAACTTGATTATCGCCAGTGCATCATCTCAGCCAGCGTCTGGGCATCCGTCTCGTTATGGCCCAAACCCCGAACGCAGCCCGTGACCCCGAGTCCCCGGGTGTCCCCTCCTCTGGTGTCATGTTGTTCCCTTTACAAATGACTTACACTCGCTTAGCACTTGCCCGAAACTAAGGCCCAAACTATGCCTCCGCTGTGGCGTGTGGTCTCTCTTGCCCAATTTATTTCATGTTTTGCCCTACGGCGGGCCTGAAACTTGCTCAAAACTTGGGCCTCTGGTGGCTGAAATGAGCCAGAGCTAGGTGTGAAACGAATTTGGAGAGCAATTTGTGGATTATTTAATAGTTGCCATTAAAAGTGTTGAAAGCCAATGAAAAGTTAATGGAATCGGGGGATTCGTTTAATGTTCGGGCTAATAAGTTTGGGATGGAACTTAATAAGTAGTGAGCGGAGATTAACAGTTTTGATTTTAAAATTCACTTCTTTTTTTTGTAAATATTATTATTATATTTTAATAATTATTATATTTAATAATTGGTTGAAAATTGATTCTTTTTTGGATTATTAAAAAGGTGCGAAAACTCAAAACATTGGCCTTCATTTCTAAGCAACAGTTTTTGTAGTCAATGCTCTTTAGGGGAAATTTTTATAAATCTAAATTCAGAATCTGAGATTGTCTAACAGAGAAGTGTAAAATCGAGAAGTATCAGTAATATGTCTATTACAATTTGAATGTATCTATATTAATATATTCCATTTAAAATCATTTTTGCTATTACAATCCTAGTCATAATATTCTTATGACAAAGATCATACATTGGTTAGTAACTATTATAAGTATTTAAAGTTCATAATCGATGGCGGTTTCTCTCGATTACATTTAAAAGGTGATTTTAGCAAATAACCAAAAGATCTACCCCTGTAATGTTAAAAGAAGCCTTTTAAATTAGTATTATTTTTGGGGATATCCAGGTTAGAATATCTTTAAAATGCGAATGTTAAATAAGTTTAACACAAGATAAGCATAAGCAGCTTAGTTAGCCAGAATGCTAATGCCAAAACTGAACGAAATAGATTCTGTGAGAAGAGTTGACTGAACAATATTGATTTCATGCACGACGCGGCCCAAGATGAGGCGGCTAAAAAGCCGTACAAGATTCGTGTTTATACAGGGGAGACTCGTAGACTTAGCTGTAGATTCGGAATAGCCGCTTTCAATGAACAGTGGAACGTGCACAGCCTTGTAACTGAATTTCAATGGCAAGTCCACGATTAAGTTTCCACCATAAGGCTGAGTTTGGCTGAGAGTCACAGTTACCCGATGACTTGCGGAAAAGCCTCCGAGGCGGGCAAAAAAAAAGTGCAAGCCGCAGATACAGATACAAGTTCAGATACAGATACAGATACAGATACATGAGGCCCAGACGCAGATGCTGTAAAGGCAGAGTTGGAATTGCGCCTTTTGCAGAAGTGCAAAAAGATAGGGCAAGGGGGTGGTATGGGGCGAGGAATCAGGGGAGTAATCACCGGCGGCCCAGGGCATGACAATGATGAAAATGACGCAGTAAAAATTAAGAAGTTCGCCTTTATGACAGATGGGGCACGAACAGCTGAGCCTCAGCTGGATTCTTCACAAAGCATAATTAGCGATCCCGCTCTCTCTTTCTCTCTCTCTCTCTCTCTCCCTGCCTCTTTCACTCGCTTTATTGCTGTCTCTGTTTTGGTTCGGCAATTTACGCCAATAAAGTTCTCTGGAGCTGTGCAAATTATTGAAATTGGCTTTAATTAGCGGAGCTTTTATTGCTGCTGCCACACTCTGCCCATTGTCGAAGAAGCTATATATATATATATATATAGTATATATCTGAACAAACTTGGTGGGGTTTCTGTGGGTTCTCGTCTCGAAAGCAACGACTCCCCAAGGTCGACTTACGCGTTCTCCATTGTTCAGCGGGCTTCGAGTTGGAGTCGTGAGCTTCTTAGCTGGTCTTGTCTTTCTTCTGGACTCCGCACTTTGTTGCTAGAAGTTGGCATCAGTTTCGGTTTCGGTTTCGCTTGATTTTACGGATCCATTCTATTTCCATTTCGTTAGCCCAACAAAACGATTCCGTCTTGGGGCAAGTGCTGGACTTTTCGGCTTAGTTGAATAACATTGTTGATGGTCATTCAATTGTCTGGTTTTTCGGTGCCAGAATCGAAAGTGAAGCGAATACTCATTGGAATGGGAAAACGACTTAGAAACCTTAGAAGTATTCAATACGCTTTTGAGATGGTTTCGTAGAAGAAATAGAAAGTGTTTTCAGAGGAATGTTGTTTAGTTTCTCTTTTCGAGAATGTTGATCTCTACTAGCTTATAATTATTTGCTTATGCTACACGATTTCCATTTTAAAGAAGTCCAGAAGAAGCTTGAGTAATTGAAAACCTTTGATCAAAGATTAAGCAGAAAAGCGACTGTCCCGCTTTCTTTATCAAAGAACATAATAAACACACTTTTTAAGAAGTTTTTGGTTCCCAAAGTCACCATTCTAAATTAATTTTAAACGCTCTAGAACTTTTGGCAAAAGCCCAGGGAAACTTCAGTTCTCATTCTGTGATTAGTTTCGCTTAGTTCATACGTAACAGTCTGTCTTTGCAACTTTAAAACTCTACTTAAATTAACATATTTTTCCGTTTAGCTGTGCACTTGGCTTAAAGCCATTGAAAAGCGGCCAAAGTATTTGCGCTTAAATTAACAAAATTCGAGTTGGAGAACGATTCTCCCACAGCGCGGCAACCAGTTCAAGTGCTGCGGGTACTTTACTTTGGCTACACGATTATACATATATGTAAGCATATATATATAGAGGGATATATGGTATATAGACGAGGGTTTGGGTGTTCTGCCCGTACATGTGTAAGTAGCATGAGCTCATGTTTATTTTTATTATTTGCCTGCCACAAATTGCAAGTCACTTGACAAGCTGCTGATGCAGCTCCCGCTGTTGTTGAAATGTTGACTTGCCTTTTTTCTTCTGCTGCTCGCTGTTGTTGTTGTTGTTGTTGTTGTTGCCATGAGCTCACACACTTTAATATACAAAAAACAGAAACAGCGAGCTGCGAGTAAAGTTTTAAACTTAGAACCCAGCTGGATAACGCGGCGTATGCGCAATCTCCGTTCGGGCATTCATTAGTGCAGACCGAAAATAAATTTCTTGCCATTTGTTAGCTGCATTCGAAATGCGATTTCCTCTAATAGGTGAACAGGTTTTCGTCTATAAATGTTTTGATGAATGTTCGCATAAATGAATTATGACAGCCGTTAAATATTTTCGGTTGATTTCTTTCTATTTTTCCTTACGATTTTTGTTGCCTGTTTTCGGGTTGGCACGAGTCGAATTTCTTTTTTTTGGGATTAACCACAGATATTTACACACTCGCTGGCGATTAATCATTTATATTCGGGCATCTTCTCTCATATCGAATGCAAAATGAATGGATTAAAAGAATCGAAGCCCGGAAGTTGTCTGGTGGCCACCGCACCTCAAAATCGGGTTGGCTTAAGCCCACAAATGAGGCCGCCAGACAACGGCTGATTATGAAATAATGCCTGACATAGTTTTCATTCGCTCTCTGGCTGGCTGGCTGGCTGGCTGGATGAAAATGTAGAGTCACAAACGCACGATAAATCATATGAAATTTTTGGATGGGACAAACATGCCGACAGCCTGTGGGACCGAAAGGGACAGCTGCTGCCTACGCACCAGGACCGGCGTGGGGCGCCAAATTTAATGCACGCCGCATGGCTTTCTCCCTTCTCTCCCTTCTGTCCACAGCTCTTTAGCACTTTTCCACCTAAAGTCCCCTCCGCACAAGAAACCTCTCCCCTCGGGGCTTGTGCAATCTTGATTTCCTTGGCCTTGTATGATTTGGCATTTTCATAAATTGGCTGCCATTCTTGCCGCTCTTAAATGCAATTGGCACTCTTTTTCGTTTTCGTTTTCGTTTTTCGTCTTAAGCCATGACACTGCGATTTCCTTTGCCCTGGCCTGGCCCGAACCGAAGTTCTTCCGCTTCGCCATCCGCGGCCTGGCAGTTTCGTTGAAATGTTGAAATGAAATGATACGCACTTATTAAAAACGAATTAACCCAGCATGCCGCCAACGCCAACGCCAAAGCCGGCGCGGACTCCTCTGCTGACGCAGCAGCTGACATTGGGATCGGTGTTGTTTCATTTCCCTGTCTGCCTGGTTTCCCTGCTCCTTTGGGTCTTTGTAATTGATATTGCAGTTGCCCCGCTTCGGCCATGGTGCCTCTCTTTTAATTTTCAATCCATGTTTGGGGTTTCCCTTGCAAGTCGATTCAATAATTGATGGATTAGTGTTACATGTTGGTCCTAAGCCAAATCTTGTTGATTAAATATTAAGTGTTGGAGGTGCAGGTTTTGGGAAATATTTTGATGGATATCGTTTTTAGGTGTACTTTCTAGGTAACTCAATTTGTAGTAAACTAAGGAGAGAGTCGCCTTGAAGGCTATAAAATATGTTAATTATCATAACATAAGCTACTTACTCTTACACTAAATAAACACACATGCTTACACAAATATGAGACACCTACGTACTATATGCCATAAAAGGTAACATGTTAGAAATCACTCTAGTTTTCACAGCTGTGTTCTTTGATAGACAGCCACAAGTAGTCTTGGCATATTAAACTTATGTTCAGACCTTACAATTCTAGAGCTAAATACAAGCATAAAATGTGACTATAAAAGTTAAATTACATCCTGACCCACTAATAAGTTTTAGTAATTATAAAAAATTCAAGTTTTAGAATCTACTTCACGAACGTTGGTACTTTTAATTGTGAAAATAACTGAGAAATTTTTACACATAGAACATTAACCAAACGAAGTTATGATCTTAGTGGAAAACATTTTCCGTTTCTCTGCTAGCCCTTGGCAAACATCTCTCATTGGAATACTTCTCCTAGCTAGGAAGTCTATATTTAGTACAGCAAAAAGGCGATGACTATCTGAGAGCTTTTCCTGAAACTCTTAGACTCATTTCAGTCAGAACCCAAAAAACTTTTAACAATGCTTGACCTGCCAACCCTGCCAACAAGAAAATAAAAACAGAAACTTGTCAGCAGCTCTCGAGCGCATCTGTTCCATTCCCTGCTGAACCTCTGCAGTGACCTGACCCATGTTAGTCCATTTTTTCAGATGGACCACCCAGTCCAGGCCCCACTCCTCCTCCTCTGTTTTGGGGGCCTGTCAACGGTTGGCTGGACATATATCATTAATCTAAGTTTCGGGCCGCCGAGCTGGGATTGAAATATTTCTATCAAATCGAAAGCTGTCTGTCACAGAGCAATGAAATTTTTATAAATGCACAACTCCCGGACGGGAAGTGCGAGGGCCTGTAGCTCTGATGGAAACATCAGCGGAGATGGACCAAATTGAAATTGATGGAGCGTGTAGAAAATTTGATGTCCATCTCCGCTCCGACGGGGCGGCAGGTGCGAGGCATTTATCTGGCGGCGATAAAAATGGAAAGAAAACGGAGTAAGACGGTGTGGCAAAGGGCAAGGGCAAGGGCAAGGGGAAATTGAAAGGGAAAACGGAAGGATGCAACCCTCAGATGTGTTTAATTTTCCAAACGGAAAAACTAACTGCGGCCGCGTAATATTTCGGGAGGCCCAAGGACAAGCCTGACATCCTGGCAGTTGCGCGCCATTTGATTTTGATTAATTATCCCGGGCCCAACTGACATGGCTCTTTCATGTGCCCGCGGGCTAACCCTCTGACCCTTCCTCCTTCCGAGGCACCACCCCCATCCCCTTCGGGCCTGTCCAGTTCCAAGGTGAAAGCGAGAAAAACTTTGGCGGGGGCTCTTTAAGGGTTGTCAACTTATCTGGGAGATTTATTGAGAACTTTGGCCTGTTATGAAACGCAATTTGAAGTGTATTAATTGCGGAGTCCCACCTCCACCCCATCTATCTTAATATTGTTTATACTCTCTGATCATTAATTATGAAAATCCTCCGTTCTTTCTGTCAGACTTACACGGGCAGAACAGGAAGCTCTCTGGGAGCTATTGAGAGAAGTCTTCATTACTAAAAGTTACTTAAGTTGAAGTCTCACTAACACCTTCCATTTTGAATAAAAATGCTCTACTTTATGTGATATTTTTTTATAAAAACTCAAATTTAAACTTTTTACTAACCCAAATCCACTTCCATCTTTTTCCTGTGCAGCCAACGGATCCTATCAGCCGGGCATGGAGCCGAAACGCCAACGCACCGCCTACACACGCCACCAGATCTTGGAGCTGGAGAAGGAGTTCCACTACAACCGCTACCTGACGCGTCGCCGGCGCATCGAGATCGCCCATACGCTGGTCCTGTCGGAGCGGCAGATCAAGATCTGGTTCCAGAACAGGCGCATGAAGTGGAAGAAGGACAACAAGCTGCCCAACACCAAGAACGTGCGCAAGAAGACGGTGGACGCCAACGGCAACCCAACACCGGTAGCCAAGAAGCCCTCCAAGCGGGCTGCCTCCAAGAAGCAGCAGCAGTCGCAACAGCAACAGCAGTCGCAGCAGCAGGCGCAGCAGACTCCGGTGATGAATGAGGTGAGTGGAGCGTGTTGAAAGTCAACAGGAACAGGCACTTAGGGCCATCTCCTCCGCAGAATTGGACGCCTTGCGTGCTCATTTATTACAAATTAATGTGCTATTATTAATGCAATTTACTTAGTTTAGTAAACGAACGCAGCACGCTTACTCATTACAATTGAGTTACTTAACTATTTATTAGTTTGAAACTTAAGATTAAAACGCCTTTAGTGCTACTTTGTAAATTAAGAACTATTTCTTGTTAAAACTAAGAAAAGATTTTAAGCAGTTGAGATCAGAAAGAGTGCGTAAACAAGCTTTTCATTGAAAGTTTTTAAGATGAGATATATACTAAGTAACAGTCCTTCTATGGCTGATTTTTAATCAAATTTGGTTGGATTTTAATAGATAGTTTTCCATATTTCGACGGCATATCCCTTTAAACTTAAAAAGTTAAAGAGTTAAAGCTATTAATATAGACAGATATATATGGCTTGAAGAACAGATAATATTTCCACTGTACTTATATTTTTACTCATGACAAAATTCACTAAAAATTCAAAATGGTTTTTACTTCACAAAGAGATACTGTCAGAATATATTCAAATATAAGTTAAACAAGTGCAAGAATGAACTTAGTGAGTCTTGTAATATTAACCACTTAGGTTTTCACTTAACAAATTATCACCTTTTGCCCATCTTTTCCTTTTCCTTACCTCCTTTCAGTGCCTTCGCTCTGATAGCTTAGAGAGCATTGGTGACGTCAGCTCGTCCCTGGGCAATCCTCCCTACATACCGGCGGCACCTGAGACGGCCAATTCGTATGCGGGATCTCAGCAGCACCTCCTCAGCAGCAGCAACAACAACAACAATGGCAGCGGCAATAACAATAACAACAACAACAGCAACAGCAACCTCAACAACAATAACAATCAAATGGGTCACACGAACCTGCATGGCCACCATCAGCAGCAGCAGCAGCAGCAATCCGATCTCATGACCAATCTGCAGCTACACATCAAACAGGATTACGATCTGACGGCCCTGTAGGAGCGGCAGGGTGATCCTCAAGATGACTTCGGCATTGTAAATTAGCTATCCCTATCATTCTTTGTAGTATTTTGTTTTCCATTTCGAATCAATGGCCTTGCTCTGGCGGCAAGGTTAGAGACAAATCGGAGTATACAGTGAACGTAGTTAGTTAAGGACCGACCATTAGGTAGACAACCCCCAACCCTCTCCTTATAAACTTGTAATTCCCATCTCCCACCACACAAAATGTTGTATATGAGTTCTACTTAAGCACCTTAGGATCCAGGTTTAAGAGTTTGTATAAAGCCTAGAACGATTCGTCATAGCTATTAAGTGGCATCGCACTTAGCTCTAGAATTGCCTATTTGTATGATTATAATAATTATAATTATAAACAATTATAAATAAATACCATTACGAATGTAGTTGGCATCTGTTGTGCGTCTCTAGATGTTTGTAAGTTCGTACTTATATTTTATGGATACAAATAAAACCGAAAAGCGAAAAGTATATCGAAATAAAGAGAGTATATTGTATATGGAAAAGAAAGTAAAGAACTTATTTGATTCAATTTATTGATTAATAAGTGGGTTTTCGGGGTGCTGTTGAGGTAGCCTGTCAAGAAGGGACTTGTCTTGGGATCGAAAAGGGTTTCAATTCAAGCCCATCTCAGCTGAGATCTGTCTTATCCCTACAAAGATATTCACTATTTGCTTTTAAGTTATGCTAACTCTAACTAAATGGAAATACCTATTAAGAAGCTATACTCGCATCTCCATCTAACCAAAACAAACCAAATCTTAAAGAAATCTTCGCCAGATTGAGATTTCTGAATGGGTTAACCAACTCCTTTGATTGATAGCCCCGAAGATAGGTTGCTCAACCCGCCTACGCGATTCCCCTTAGAATACAGGCAAACTTGCACACTCGACCATAATCCGCTGATTCATCATCGCTCATTGTCAACTAATTAGGACAAATTTAAACATCATGGCCCAAACGCTGCTGGGTAGCCAAATTCAGAGCCAAGCTCCTTTTGTTGGGGGGACGTCTTTCGGGCTAAAGAATTCAACAGGCCTTTGTTGGGCAATCAAGTTGGCCAAAAGGAGCGGAGCTGGGGTCGCCAAATGCTAACAAGAGTTCTTAATTAAAAATCGATTCGCCAATGATTGATCACAGCCCATTGGCACCTGTTGGCTTCTGGAAATATGTTCGACAAGAAATCATCTCCGAGAGTGGATCCTCCGCAGATGGAGTGTGTGCGATAAACTGGTCTTAGCTCACTTCCCCCGAAGTGTTCGAGGCGGACCTATTGCGAATTGTGGCTGGTTAGTCAGGCGTGGCCTCCGTTGACAATGACCCAGGCCCGAGTCATCGGGAGAGTGTCCACCGACATGGGGACATAATCAATCTACCCCCGATCCCTGACAGTGGATTGTCGGTCGGGTACATGGAAACACTCTTAGCGCTTAATTTATCATTGCGAAATGATCAGCAGTGCTCCTTGGGACCACGGGCCCCGGCCCGAAACTGGAAATTGCGCGCACTCTTCCCCAGCGATAAAAGGATTAAGACCTACTTATAGACCGGAACGACCCGAGAACTCGTCCAAGGAGCTGGCTGAAAACCTGAGAGAACTGACATCGAGGACGCAAACGAAGTCGAAATTAGCAGCTCAAAGTGATTACGAGAGCATGAGCACGTGTTAGGGAAATAATTTAACACTTTGACAGCGACTTCAGGGCCTTCATAGAGGGGGTAGAAGGGCTGAAAAGGGAAATCGTAATTATGACCAACGGTAGCTTCACTTGTCACTTGTCCCTACCGAAGGACCCACCAGGGTTTGTTTATATGCGAATTGGATTTTTAGAAACTGGTCAGGTTGCTGAATTCTGTTCTTAAACTGGCTTTTAAAGTAGAAATTCTTCATAGGTTCGTCACTTTTTGTAGGGAATTTGGCAAATCCTAAGATAAGATCGAAAAAGATATCACGTGTCTTAGAACAGAAAGAAGAATGTCAAGGAGTTGTAGTAAAACTGTTGGGTTTTCCACTATATTAACAACATTTCATATAGGATAAGGTTTGATCAGAAAAAATGTTTGACTTATTCAGAATCTAGAGTTTTATATTTTCAAATTCAATAGTTTCCTGTTAGCGTAAGCCAATTTCTTAATAGTTGGCTTACTACTACAAGTTTTGGAAGGAACTTACTTCAAATTAAATTAAATATTCAAAGATTCTGACATTAAGCAGACAAAACATATACTGAAAAAAGCTTAAAGTTAAGGTTTCCCTTTAAAAACCACAATGCCCTCTATTGCCATATCAAACCTAACGTGATTAATATGATTCTATGAAATTTGGTTAATCCATTAACCCCCACAAAACGACCTCACACCTTCTGGTAAGAACTCTGGAGGAGATCACAAGTCCGGCAACCATTTGTTCTAAATGATTTTTAATAGACAAAACTCAGCGCAGCCATTCGAGAGGCCATTTATATCCCAGTCCGTCTTCAAAGAGCCAATCCATCGCCTGGCCACTCGCATGCCCAACATAATACATGGGTTAATGGTTACAAATTAGGCTGGATCGGTTGCAGGCAGCCAGCACGCAAGTGGAGGGGAGTGGAAAGGTGGACCAACCGCAGGCATCCTTGGAGTGGCGAAGTGGAGGCACAGCTTGGGTTGAGATAATAGTCCCGATATATTTTTTTAAATATATTATTTACTTTTAAATTATGATTTACTTTGATGTTTGAAGATTTATGATTGATAAAATAGGTAATGGAGAATCATGAAACTATTCTTATTATTTATCTTAAGAACTATTGTCATGACCGCAGCTGTACGTGGCAGGAGGCTGAGCTGCCAATTTAATAAATTGCCAAGCATTAATTAAATCGAAAAGGAGAGGGAACACACGGGGAAGGAGAGGCCTGGAGTTGCGACTTGAGTGATGAGACTTGATTGATTCCTGCCGAGGGCCACACTTGAGGTGCATTGTTGCACATAATTGTGGCTCTGGCCTTGGCTGCACATTGATTTATTTAAGCGGCCCGCTCCCTTTGTCCCCGGAATTTGTTTCCAATTCAAACTTAATGAGAATTGATGCCTCTTCAGCTTTTTTGATGCCTTCTTGTTTGTTTTGGCTTCGGGTTGTTTTGCCATTAAATGGCCTACTAATTGGCAAGGTGAAAACAATTAGCTGACATTTCTTGGAAGAGTCAGGACTAGGCCCATGAGCAAAAACGGTAGCCGAAGATGTCCTGCGGCATTCATCTAACGGACGAACGGGCAGAAGTCAAGCAGGAAGCCTATATCCCATATCCTACTGCCCATTGCCCAGCACGATGGCTGCGAATCCTTTACCGTTCTAATCCCTTCACTTGTGCCGCCCGACGGCGCGTGGGCGTTTTCGGTGGGCGTGCCGCTGTGTCCGTATGCAAAAAAGGTTTGGCCATCCAACGAAATTAGCAACAGTAGACACAGTTAATTGTTCGGCATTGTTTCGTCCTTTGCTGCCTGCCAGGATCTCACGAAAAATGTGGCTCTGATCAAAGGGTTGAGACAGTGGGCCGGGCCGTGTCCCTTGACTTCTGTTGGGATAATCCGGGATGAAAGAGGATGAGACTGGATTAGCCTGGAGCAAGGAATGCTTTGACTACCGCTGGGAGAAGTCAAAAGTTAAGGGAATTGAGCAAACTCAAAATATTGGAAAAAAAAAAGATTTTGTTCGACTATTTTATGGAGATTTGTTGCCCATTTATTTCATTTCATATACTTGCTAAATTCATGTTTAATCAAAATGGGTTTAATCATAGCCAGAAATTAAATTATTATTATTAAAGTATATCTTTTAATGGGTTAAACTCAACTAGTTCCATTACAAACAAGAGGAAACGCTATAGTCGAGTGCCGCGACTATAAGATACCCGTTACTGTTTTACACAATTTTAAAATATAAATTTTGCTAGTGGAAATAGGCGCCACCTATTGTCAGAGGAAGTATGTTGAGTATGCTTATAGTGACGTCACTGCCCATGTGAGGCCTTATAACCTTAATTTCTTTATAAATAGCGAAATAATGTTCCGATTTTAAAAATCTTTGGTAAATCGATAGATATTAATAGAAATAAGTTATACAAGGTCAAACGAAGGCATTCATAATAATGTTATAGACGCCACAGTTTTCCGCGGTTTGTGGGCGTTAGAGTGGGCGTGGCCGGATGCAACTTCGTAGCAAGTTGCAGAGGTATCTCTTGAATACGTGTTCCTAAACAAAATTTTGTAGCTCTTATAGCTTTCGAGATTTTTGCATTTTTGGTTTTCGGGTTTTGTGGGCGTTAGAGTGGGCGTGGCTTCATCGGAATAAAACAATTTGCATTGGGAGTATTATAAAAACCTACATGCTTGATCCGAACTTTCTATATCTTATAGTTACCGAGATATCAACTTTTCTAAAATATCCGTAAACCGTCTTTTGAGCCTTGTGGGCGTATGGGTGGGTGTGGCCGGATAGTAGAACCACTATAAGATGCGCTAGTATCTAAAGATTATATTTTCTGAATTTCAACTTTCTAGCTCCAATGGTTCCTGAGATTTCAGCAATTTTAGTTTTTTGCGATTTGTGGGCGTTAGAGTGGGCGTGGCAGGATGCTGTAATAAACTTGCGCTGTCCCGGGACCTCAAGAATCTTCATGCCTAATCTCAGCTTTGTATCTGCTATAGTTCCTGAGATCTCAGCGTTCATACGGACGGACGGACGGACGGACGGACGGACGGACGGACGGACGGACGGACAGACGGACATGGCTCAATCGACTTCGCTATTGATCCTGATCAAGAATATATATACTTTATAGGGTCGCAAACGCTTCCTTCTATCTGTTACATACTTTTCAACGAATCTAGTATACCCTTTTACTCTACGAGTAACGGGTATAAAAACAAACATAATTAAAATATATCCCAAATCTATTTTTGTCTATTGTTTTTTAATCTCACTTTTCACATTTTTTACGCATAAACAATTGCTAAATATAATATGCCCTCATCCCGAAACTCATTCCATTTGTTTCTGCGAGTTCTCTTTGAATGCCGAACGGCAAAAGTATCTGCGGTAATTGACATTCGATCATTAATCAAACTGCACAATGCAGCAGCGTGGTTTTGCTTTTTGTTTCATTTTAGTCTCTTCCTTCTTTTCGTTCAGTTTTAGAAATTTTTATTCGCGTTGAAAGAAAGATACACGAATCGGTGGACACTTTTTAAATTTTTATACCCGTTACTCGTAGAGTAAAAGGGTATACTAGATTCGTTGAAAAGTATGTAACAGATAGAAGGAAGCGTTTGCGACCCTATAAAGTATATATATTCTTGATCAGGATCAATAGCGAAGTCGATTGAGCCATGTCCGTCTGTCCGTCCGTCCGTCCGTCCGTCCGTCCGTCCGTCCGTCCGTCCGTCCGTCCGTCCGTCCGTCCGTCCGTCCGTCCGTCCGTCCGTCCGTCCGTCCGTCCGTCCGTCCGTCCGTATGAACGCTGAGATCTCAGGAACTATAGCAGATACAAAGCTGAGATTAGGCATGAAGATTCTTGAGGTCCCGGGACAGCGCAAGTTTATTACAGCATCCTGCCACGCCCACTCTAACGCCCACAAATCGCAAAAAACTAAAATTGCTGAAATCTCAGGAACCATTGGAGCTAGAAAGTTGAAATTCAGAAAATATAATCTTTAGATACTAGCGCATCTTATAGTGGTTCTACTATCCGGCCACACCCACCCATACGCCCACAAGGCTCAAAAGACGGTTTACGGATATTTTAGAAAAGTTGATATCTCGGTAACTATAAGATATAGAAAGTTCGGATCAAGCATGTAGGTTTTTATAATACTCCCAATGCAAATTGTTTTATTCCGATGAAGCCACGCCCACTCTAACGCCCACAAAACCCGAAAAACCAAAAATGCAAAAATCTCGAAAGCTATAAGAGCTACAAAATTTTGTTTAGGAACACGTATTCAAGAGATACCTCTGCAACTTGCTACGAAGTTGCATCCGGCCACGCCCACTCTAACGCCCACAAACCGCGGAAAACTGTGGCGTCTATAACATTATTATGAATGCCTTCGTTTGACCTTGTATAACTTATTTCTATTAATATCTATCGATTTACCAAAGATTTTTAAAATCGGAACATTATTTCGCTATTTATAAAGAAATTAAGGTTATAAGGCCTCACATGGGCAGTGACGTCACTATAAGCATACTCAACATACTTCCTCTGACAATAGGTGGCGCCTATTTCCACTAGCAAAATTTATATTTTAAAATTGTGTAAAACAGTAACGGGTATCTTATAGTCGCGGCACTCGACTATAGCGTTTCCTCTTGTTTTTCTTACAAGTTTACAAGATTTAGCCAGCGGAACAGCCGTCAACACTTTTTTAAACTAGGGGTGTAAAAAACTTTACCTCATCGTTGTAGCTCCTCAATTCTCTATGGATACACTGAGGAATGTTGAATTCACAAGTTTTCAATTTTGAAATATATCTAAGAGGAGGTGTATTAGCAACCTGTGGGGAATCCTTACTTCTGTACCTAAGGTCTTTACTGTTATTCTAATTTTTTATTTTGTATGTTAAAGATGCCTATACGAATATCTTCCAGCTGTTATGAAAAAATGTAGTGAACATGATTTTTCTTTTATATTTAAAAAGTGTTAGTAAGATTTAGTTTAGTTGTAGTGAAAAGTTGTTATTTTTCCAAAACTATCCTTGTTTTTGTGCCATTTCTTGCAGTGTACCCATCATGGCTGCCTTCTGAAGGCTTTGTTTTTGCTACTGACAGCCCCTTGACAAGGCAATGGCAGCTGGAGAAGACCTGAAGGGTCCGCAAATCCTCATATATGATGTGTGCTCTCACCCTCATCCCTGTTGAGCCACCCTCACTCTCTGGCTCTTCACCACCCCGTCGACAGAGTGAAAGTTCCCCATGAACAGAATCCAAAAAAGACCCAGATGAAAGTAGCAATTCCAACCATTTGCAATTCTTACCCTCGCCGAGGAGTAAGTGTGTCTGTGACAGTGGCATTTTTGATGAAATTTTATTCCGTTCACATAGCCGTCAATGTCATTTCTGCCGCTCGCTTAGTCCTTTGCCTTTTTTATGTCCTTATGTTGATTATTTCGTTGACGTGCTTCTGCCCCAGACTTCGCCAAAAAATATATACACCCAGAAACTTGCAACATTCGTTCATGGGAAAGTTTTTGCTATGTGTAGGTTTGTCTTTTGATTTCGATTCTTTTGTTGGTCAATTTAAAGAGTCTTCGTACGAACTTAAAAAACCTCAAGAAATAATATTAAATTGTGAGTTGAAAAGAATTCTTTATCATTTCCAAATAAATAAAATATCAACTATTATTTTTGTACATTTGGTTATCTTGACAAAAGAAATATAAAAGTAATATCGTATAAAGAGAGAATCCAATAAGAAGTTGTGAATCCCTTAGAAAAAGGTTTTTAATTTCCGAATCCTAAAATTTTTCGAATATGTATAATATTTGTCTCTTCTAGTTCTTAATTTAGGAAATTTATATATTTGTTTTTTGAGAGTAAGTTAAATGCGATTTTTTATCCAACTAACCTATTAATAATTATTATATTTATTTTGTTTAATAAACAACTTATTTTCAATGAATAAATCAAGAAAGAAATTTATCATCGATTTCTTTGAAATCAGAGACCTGTAAGTAGTATACTTAAATATGCTAAAATAAACATTTATTATTTTTAAAATATTAAACTATTATTATAAAACAAATAACAAATTCAAATAAAATAAATGTGTAAATATAAAAGCAAATAAAATATTTACTCATTGTCACTAGCCGATATCCAAACCAATTTTATGTAGAATAAATAATGTATAATTTACCTCGATCCAAATGTATTTGTCAAATGTATAAGCGGATATGCACTGCCTGGTTTCAAGCAGTGGAGGAGAGTAAAATTGAATGGTGCTGGTCTTTGCTAAGAGAGGAATTTAATTTTTGTTCTTAACTGCAAATTAATAGCAGTGTAGCTTGGACAGAAAGAGAGCAAGCATTGGAGCAACGGCCACTTCGAAAACGTTATTAGTTTTAAAACGTGCAAAATAAAACAGCACTAAATTGTTGATTCAAAATTGTATATCAATATCTGTAAAGCTGCTCACTACAAAATCTTCATTATCAGAGAAATTGAAATTGTTTTCCTTAAGCTATAATAATAGTAATCACCTTTCAATTATCCAAATTCAATTTCAGGTATTACCATTGCAATATCATATTATTGTTCATAGATCTGAAGATTAAATTTGAGCGAATCTTTCTTTTCAGAGGCTTTCACGAAGGCCAAACATATTAGCATTAAATGTTTCCTGTTAGCCGCACGATAGCTTCAGTTATCGCACTTAAATTTTCTTCCTATCGATACCAAAAAGTTGAACGATAAATGTTCGATTCCTAACGAAAGATATTGGTTAGTTCAAAATCAAAAGTTGAATTAAATGACTGTTGTTAAAGGAATTAATTTATCAGCAAGCCAATAAAATCCATTTTTAGACCATTTGTTTTAGGGTATTTATATATCTCTATTAATTATTAATAATTTTTAGGACAACTTTCTAAATGTATACCCTTTGATATATTCTTATCGGATTAGCGTTGTCATGGATTAATCCCTCGATGGCTGCCTTTGACAATTTCTTCCGGCTGACGTGGATCTCTGCTAATGTTGCTGCTGAAAAGGACAGATTTGCTGTGTGTAATAAAAATTTTCACAAACCAATTAGTCGAAATGTCGTGTGAAGTCTTTCTGAGTTGGCGCTGCATTATTATTACCCGGTGTGGTACTTGAAGTTGACAACTCCCGTTCTGCGCAGTCGCAAAGTGGTTTTCGATAAATAAAACAAGTGGTGGTCGGAATGCATTTTTGATTATTCAGATTGGTCAAATTGTACATTTCTCTTCTATATTTTATGGTTGATCTACAGCATTTAAATATCGATAATATTGCGAAAAAGTATTCATATAGTTATGCTTATAGACCAGATACAGAGTTGATAATCTTAACTTGTTTCTAAATATCACTTAGGAGGGTCATTCCCAACTTCCAACAATTATTAAAAATTACTTTTTAGTGGTCGGTTACCTATAACCTATATATATATAACCTATTACCTATACCTTACCTATTACCTAAATATGTATATACATATAAGTGCAGAAAAAATTAAGAATATTATTATTCTAGTGATTTCTTTTCGTATCAGAATATACATCTACATCCAGTGGTAATATTTAAATTTTTAAATTAGACTATGATTAAGACTTTCTGATTGTTTCAAATTGTTAATTTTCAAAATAGGTAATCAAGTAGATATAATTGCTTGTAAAACTCCAATAGTTTATTTTTTAACTTGTTATCGTTATCATTTCGCTGCTCTGTTCAGTCATTAAAACGAAACGAAAACAGATGGCATTTACTAAAATCTTGTGTTAAAATGTTTCATTTTCGAGACCAACTTCTAAGCTCAGCACCTTCCGGAAGTTGTATTAAGCTTGTAAGATAAAAGATAAAAATTAGGAAATGACCTGCTTTTCCCTAATTACAAATTATATGTAATTAGGAACTCAATCAGCTTAGGCTTATCAGTAATAAGATACAAAAACCCTATCGGAATATTATTAAGAATTACAATTGATAAATGTCGAATTCAATATCTAAATGAGCTTCAATAATGCTTTTCTGAACGAAATATTGTCATTACTATTACTGGTTATTTGTGGAATATTTCGGAGGTTTCCTGATGACTGCTATGGGCCAGCTTACCCGGACGGAATTTCTGCCAGTGGGTGGCGAAAAGCTATCCGGACATAATGGGCTAAGGATGTGACTCAAGTGGCGTCCTATGCAAATTGGCCAAAGTGCACGGACATTTTGGCCAAACTGCAGACTTTGACAATCCCTTCCGCCACGAACACGACCAGAAATCGACGCCACACAATCGACTTGACCCAAATGTCTTGTTAGAGCGCACACACAGATACTCCACACACACACACATACCCTCGAGTTTGAAGGAACAGCCCCTCACCCCCTTGCGAAATTGTAATGGCAATTTGTATGCAAAATTGTCAGAATGTAAATTTCATGCAACACATCGAGTAAATGGAAGTCGGCAGGAATATAAATGAAAGCGAAAGAATTCAGCAATAGCAACGAAGTGTTCCATGTCCGGTGGCAAGAAATTTCAATTGATGGATGTGGAAATTCTTGGAGGGAATTGCTGGCTTTGCAGCGCTGTTTATAGGAATATTATGCGAGTATCTGAATAACAAACTATAAACTTTTCATTAGAAATCGATAAAACATACATTGGGCATAGGGGTTTAAAAAGGTAAAACATTTTATTACATTTTTCTGATGTTACAAGCTCTTTACTTTAAAGTAAAAACAAACAAGAAGACAGTGTACGCATTCTTGAGACAGACTAGGTTCCTTAATTCAGAAGATACTTACAGCTACACTGAACTAAAAATTAATCATAGAGCACACTTTACAATTTTATCTTATATTTAGCTTAATAAACACGCCTTCCTACTTACTAAAGAATGGAAGTAAGAAATTTGTTTTTCTCGTTTTTTACAATTTTAAGCTATCAAAATTCTTAGATTATTAAAAATAACTAATAATGCTTAACAATCTTTTGCCTTTGAATCATTGGCATTGAAAAGTGAAACTTTAAGGCCCAGTGCTCTTATCTATAAATGTAAGCCAAAGAAAATTGTGTCAAGACAGCAATTCATTATCATGGCTTTTATGGTAAGCAGTGGAAACGTATTACTTGGCAACAGTAATTAGATTTTTGTACAGTGAGTCATCCCTAAATAGGTTCCACTCTGTTAACATTTCATACAAGTTTTAATTTCCTTAATTTAAAAAAGAAGAGTAGCTGCAAGTTGAAACTATGCAGAAATTCATCTTTGAGTACTTTACTAGGACAGCGAAATCTTATCTTATACACAAACTCAAATTCAAGTCAAGCAAGCGAATGAGCTCTAATATACATAATTCACTTTTTCACTTATTTTTGATTTCACTTCCGTATTCGGCTATCGATGAACATTGAACCACACAAACCTCTCTAGAACCGAATTTGTCCTTAAAGCTAGAGTAAAACAAATTCGGATCTACAGGGTAGACGTGGAGCAAACTGAAGGAGACCTAACAGTCGCAGGCGGCTGAATGAGCTCAGGTGAGCAATCACTGCTGCAAAAAAGTGAAATTGTTAATAAACATATACAATGTGTGTGTACAAGGCGGGGTAATTTAGGCGGAGCGGCAATTACATGCGCCTCGGGAAAATTATATTTATCGTGCCACACGTGATGCGACGATGGCTGGCGGCTATACAACGGGTTCCTCTATTCCTTCGAAATTATGGAATGACCCATAAATGTGATTACAAAGCTCGCCGTGGCCTGCCAATTAATTCGAGGCATTCGCGAGGTCTCCGTGTCCATATCCGTGCCCGAGTCCGTGCAAAGTCACGGAAGCCCTTCCTTTGCCAGCGCAGAAGCCAGCTCCGTGTTGTCTTCGCCCTCGCCTCTGGAAACCAAACTGAAGCCAAGACCTCACCGAGTGGCCCGAGATTAGGCAGTAGTCCGAAAAAACGCAGAGTGCGGAAAGTAAGGCCCGACCTTATCGGAAGAAGCGGCGATAAGATAAGATACGGCTGCGATGTCTTTGGGAGTGCTTAGTGAGCTTGTATCTAATTGATTGCCCGCGGATTACGGCACTTTCTTCACGTCGATAAAATGGGTGCGAGGCCTGGAAATTGGATAGACAAGAAACACATTTAATGAATGATAGATAGATCTGCCCATGGGCGGGGGTGTTAACTTCGTTGTCTTCTGTTTGCACTGAAATCAATCAGTGAGTCGCCTCGCTAAGCTCTCGACCTGGATCGCTGTCGCCAGTCGCCAGCCGCCAGTCGAGGTTCCCTGTCTTGGGCGCCACTTCCTTAAGCCGTCTCGTTCCTGCTCCAAATCGGTGAATTGGTAAATCGGTAACGATGATGATGGTGGCGATGATTCAGCAGTAAGCCCTTTGAAGACTGCTGAGTAATGGGCGGAAGAAGAGAGTGAGAGGTGCTGCTCCGACAGATGCTCCGATGTAGTTCGTGTGTCCTGTAATGAAATTTCAATTAATTAATGACTTTTTAGCAGGATTCATTAGCACTAAGCGGCAGGCCTTAGTCTCTACTAAGCTGGCAAAGTCAAAAACCTTTTCGGGGCCGGCGGGCTACGGTTACCCTAGAAATCCCCCGGATTAGGGCCGTAATGGCAACAAATCTTGCGTAAACAAAGGAAGGAGGACGAATCGCTTGACTTTGCACACCCTCCGATGCTCCCTCTCTTTCTGTCGTGCTGTCTTGCTGTCTTGCTGTCCTTCTGCCTGCCTGCGGTGCCTCTTTGTCTGCAGCCCTTGTTGTCGTTTTTGCAGCCTCAACATGGCTGCTCGGGACTCTATTTAACCCTGCGGAAGGGAGAGAGATTGCAATAGAGAAAGAGAGAGAGGGTGTGCTCTCCAAATATGTACACACAATCCACAAGGGGTAGCAAGGACTTTTGGTAGCCGAATGGAGAGAGGGATATTGGGGTGAAGGACCAGGCAGTTGGGCAGGCAAAAAGGCAGCTGGGACTAAGTCGTTCTGTGATCATCCAGCTGAAGTTTGCTGGTCAAAGTGCTCCATATTTCAACACCTTAACCAAATTAACGCCGTCTTGCCGAATCGAAATCAGCGAAAAAATATATTACATCACCCCAGGCCCACGGCACCCCCGAATCAGAAATGCTAATTGACTTCACGTGGTCAGAAGGCAGCACTTAACGCGAAATCGTCAGGAAATATACATGCTCAACGGCCTCCCGAAGCTCGCTAATGCAGTGCAAATATTTGGCAACATTAAATATATTATGGAAATAATAGATCTGTCGTTAATTTTTTGCCACCAAGCGAGCGAAGGATTTTGCGGTTGGCAGCATTTTCAGTTAGCGAAACTTACAATTCACGGCCATTGTGTACAGTCATGCCGAGATGCTAATGATAGTTCAGCTAAACTGGCCTATTGTAAAACTATATTTATAGATATGAGTTTAACACACTTTTATATTCAAGATACAGAGATGTTCAAGTCCGACTTCCCCTTTGGAGCAAAACAAGTCATCAAATTGATAATGTTCTAAATATATGCTTAAACCTCACATTTATTGACTGTTCATTTCAGATGCACGTTATGCATCATCTGCTGACCATTATTAGAAAGTTGATATTCCGTAGCAAAACAACTTTATTTATGGCCAAGTTTTATGCTTGAAGATCAATAAAATGAGTTTATTCCTTTACCGTTTAATGCCCAATCATTCTGTTTTGAAGGCATCAAAGATACTTGTTTTTCAACTTGACTATTCTATGTTCTGCCATTACTTCCAAAACTAAAATTTGCATCTTAGAAAACCTTCACATCCTATCACTTCTATCTATCATATTTTCTGTGTTAAATTCTATCTTGTAATTCGACAAACTTTTTAATCGTCTTTTCTTTGTTACCCTGAAACATTGATTAATTAATTTACAAAGTATTCCGCCGATATCCCAGCCCGTATCTCTATTGATAAGTATGATGTACGAGCGGGTCAGATATAATTTCGGCCGCTTTGGGAAATTCTTTGCTATTTTTGTTTGCTGATAGACACACCAAAATGATTTTCAATCGCGCCGCGAGCTTAGGAAGTTCATTAATTACCTTTTGGCTAACCTAATAACTCAGTTTTGTAAGCCAAATGAATCAATTTGTTATTTTCTTTGGTTTTATCTAACTCCTGGGGCTGTTGTATTCTGTCTTGAGATACAATAACAGCAGGAAGATAAGAAGAGAAACCCCAAGAGCAAACCCCTCCGGAAGTAGCGCGAAATGTGTACAAAAGGCAAGTAAAGAATGCGTATCTTCTCCCCAGTCACCTGTGCACTCGGAGAAAACGGGGTTTAGTATTAAGAAAGTAAAATGATTATTATGTTTTTGCCATTTGAAGTTTGATAGAGTGCTTGGATGTTGCCTTGTCCTCAGAAAGGAATAAATAAAATAGAAACTCCATTATTTTTCCCAGTGCATCCCCCTGTACCTTCCGCTAACCTATTCCCTGACCAGACCCATAAACCATCGACCGTCCAGCAACAGATACGTCGGCACAAAGGGGCAATGACTGGCTAAATTTTTGCAATGTTGCTTTTAGCACATGAAGACAACTTCGCACATAAATCAAAGTGTCTGTCTGCGCAAGAAGAGGTGAGTGTGTTTGGGGGGATGAAGAGGAGGCAGATCATTTACCTTGGTCAGTTCGGTGCCAAGTGTCACTGTGCATTGTGCCCGAGCGTCACCATTCAATCACTGTTGCCTCACTGTACTCTGCACCTCTGCCATGTTGAGCTGTTTGCATCGAGCGCGGAGCTTCGGAGGCCAAGGTTGTTTCAGTTTACTGAATAATATTATTATTGCCACTTCGCCTTCCCGCCATTCGCCGCGAAAATCGAGAGGCAGGTAGAAATGCTAAAAGAGAGCTGAGAAAGAAATTCCGAAAACGGTTCGCGGTTCGCGATTTGCAATTCTTTTTTCTTGCATTTATTTTGAACCTGCCTTTGTTTTGCGGCATTTTGTATCCGTACATCTGTATCTGTATCTGGATCTGTATGGGTATTGGATTCAGTATCTTTACCCCCATATCCATCGCAGGGGGCTCACATACCGGTCTCCGGTCTCCGGTCTCCGTTCTCGTTCTATATACCGATATCCCGATATTGTCGGTGTCTGTTTGTTGTTTACAAAAATACGCGTCTCTCCTCTTCCTCTCGCGATTCCTGTTCTTCCTGCCTGCTCTTTTTGCCTTTTATTTATTTTTAGTGTCTTAATTTATCTCTTCACTGGGCTTAATGGAAATGCGCGGGCAACAGAAATGCGCTCCCAGGTGGCATAGTAAGGACAGTGGGTTGAGGTGGTCTTAAATCGGGAAATATTTTGTAGAAATTTGTGATTTGGAAGTTGACTTTTTAACTTTATAAACGGAATAATAATAATATTTCTCAGGTTAACAAGCCTGTTATCTTTAAATACTCAACGGAAGAATAAAGCCAGACAGATACTTAACAATATTTAGTCGTCTCTCGACACTGATACTTCCCAATTTGTTCACTGTGCTGTTGGAAAAGTGCAAGTTCCCAGGCCAGCTGCATTCCCCCGACTGGCTGATTGTTTGGAAATTTGCATGAAATTCCAATAAATATGTCATACTGCAGTTACCCCAATTTCGGTGGAAGAAGTTCCCTGCCCAGTGTTGAGTCCTCATGGGGTAGTTTGAAATGGAGTTCTAAGGGTATGTTAATATCTGATATGCGATAAGGGATTATGCTCGTAAAAAATGCGGCATGTGGCAAGGTCGATGCTGAGGTGAATGTAATTTCTCAGGGGGTTTTTGGGGGTTCCCAAAATGGTTTGCTCAAATAATTGCTTATAGAGGCTGGTTCTGACGTAAGAGCTGAGATTGTAAACAATTAACAGCGTGTCAACCGGTTTGGAATCATCAACTTTCAAGTTTGTATTTTAGGACTGTTTATTTGCCATTTTTATTATGGGATTTTTGCGAAATAAATTAGACGCCTTGCCATTCAATAAATTTATGTGAATGAAGCTTAGAAATATATATTTAATAAAGCTATTCTTAGGCTGCCATTTGCATAACTGCACTTTATGACTTATTCAACGCAGCCTCGATTATTTGGTGACCCATTGACACAGAACCGAGGACAGAGGACAGAGGAAGTGACTCTTTGTTGAAAGTCACAGATTTGAATCTGTAAACGCTTGACACTTTCCTCGGCTCATTCATATTTATGAGCAGCACACATTCCCAATGCAAACTCTTAAAAATTCATATCTAATCTGAGGCACTCCCTCTCACCAAAACGCCGCCCAGCTCGGCTCAGCTTAGCTAACTTGTAAAAGGTTTTAATTGCCCAGAGGAATTTGAGGCAACATTGCATGCATTTTGTGGGCCATGTGGACAAGCCGGATAATTATACAACCCACCAGGCAAATATATGATTCAGATTCAGGTCAAAGCCCAAACGAACTTGTTGGCCCAGCGCCTTCATAAAGATATCAGCCAAACTTTGAGACGACCTGTTCGTCGAATTTGTCGAAAGGCCAAAGAAAAAAGTCTCTGGCCGTCAGTCCGGAGATTTCAATAACCAACGTCAGCAGATGCATAAAAAAGCCATAAACTCTTATTTACTTTGCTTTTCCTATTAAGCCTGTGACCCAGCAAGTTTCGTTAGCCGTCACCTGCTCATTTGGTTATTAGTCAGTCGCCGGTTTTAGTTCGAACCATTTGCATACTAAATGAGCAAAGAAACAATTGGTAAAAACGGAAAACAACTTCAAAACTATTTGGTTTTTAGTTTTTACTGCAGCTTTCTCTCTGGCGAGCCCATCCGAAAAAGGGAGATTCTTCCAGGGGGTTCCCCATGGCGAAAGCAGCGCCATATTGCTGCGCATCCCTGGCCAGAAATCGGGTGACACGCACCTTACGCGCAGCCCCTTTGTGAAGGGGTAAATGCATTTACACGGAGAAAAAAAGTGGTGCCCTTTATTATCTTATCTTAGAAATCAGCACAAAAACTATCCCTAATAGTCATATTGCTAAAAACGTTGGAAAAGTCATAAAAGTTTCGTTATTTAAAGCAAAATTTGCATTACTATTTAGCATTGTCCATAAAATGGCTTAAAACTACAAAAGATTTGCGTCTTTTTATAAGCAGCTACTTGGACTTAGTTAAATGGAAATCTTTAGCACAAATTTGCATTTCATTTTGCCCGTATAAATTCGCCAATTTATACTTTAGTAGCTGCTACTACCAAGGGCGAATAGCTATCCTTCAAGTTAGACTTAAAACTGATATCTTACTTCTTTTAACTTCACAATTTAAACTGCAAGTGTTTAATAAACCTTATAATAAATAAATACGCTTTTCTAACAACAAACTCAGCCTACATTTCTGCCAGTGTATATAATGTACTGCAGCTTTCTATGTACGCACTCCCATTAAATGCAGCCGCTGCAGAAGCTTGGGGTTGGGTCTCCATCACCGCCACTGCTACTGCCACTGCCACCACCATCATCATCATCATCCCAATCTCGGCCCGAGGCTTAACACTTTGCCACTTGGCGTATCTAGACCCGATAATCATCGTCTTGCCCCCTCCGCCACTGTTTCCATTACGGCATTATGATGGGTGGGTGGCCTGCAGCAGCTGTCGCCGCTTTCTTGGGCACAGCCACTAATATTTCGGTATACTACTTAACCCATGCACTAAATGGCGGGACAAGTGTTTTCCACTAGGAGCGGGGGAAAATGCAAGTTGCTGAGCGGGAAGAGGCCAAGGGAAAAGGGGGTTGGGCTGCCTCTGCCTCTGCCTCTGCCAGGGGGTTGTTGTTGCTGCTGCTGATAGCGCGACAACGAGGTTGAAATTCGGTTTCGGGTTTTTTCTTTTCGGTTTTCTTTTTTTTGCGCCCGACTTTTGTAGGATTGCAGGGGTGAGAGGTGGAGTGTGTGTGTGTGTGTTCTGCGCAAATGAAAAGTGGATGAAAGGAGCACATTTCCGGGCGCTCGCGACACCACCACACTCTCGAAACAAAGCACACACAAACACACACACACACAGTTACACTTATGCAGAGGCGACGACGAGTCAAAACGAGGACAGGCGCAGGCTTTGGAAATGGCAATTGACTATGGCTCGACCACCCACCGCCCTATCAAGCCCCTTTTAGTGCACATGCGTACTGACTTGGTGACTTTTGCTCAGCTTATTCCTTTTTTTTCTGTTTTAAATAATATTTGTATAAATTTTGAGTTTTCAAACATACCTGCTGGGAATGAGAAGGTAGAGCTCAGCCTTAAATCCATTTTACTTAACAAGTTTCGAAGTTTTTCAATGAATTCGATTTGAGAATTGCAATTTCTTTGATTTTTCAACACTTTTGCACCGAGTTTTTAGAGTGTTTTTGGGTTCGTTGGCCAGTTGGCCAGTTTTTCGTTTAATTCGCAGACAGATTAATAGATGATGGCCCAGGGATCAGGTCGCAGCCTCCTGCAGGATAATGGCTGCTCTGCCGCTGCGACGCCAGCAGAAGCAGCGGCGGGCGATGGCCGCTGGTTTCTCTGGGAGCAGAACGCTCAACGTTCCGCCGCGGTCGGCGTCAAATTTCAAACTGAAACTGAAGTGAGCCCAGCTCACCATTTCAGCGCAGTCGACGGCCGTCGAGCGGTAAGCGGTGTTTTTTTTTGCCAAAGTTGATAACAGCCATAATGCCCGCTCTCCCGCCACAACCTCCCTCCCCTGCTGCCCTGGCATCTGGATCTGGGTCTGGATCTGGGTTGTGTGTGGCCCAAGCACGTAACTCCAGGGAGAGAATCGGGCCAGGAACGTTGAACGGAGAGTTCGCTGAGAGCGCTAGACAGCAGAAGAGAGCATTGCGACCACACTTGAAGAAATTTTATTTATGACTCTATTTATTTTGTTAGATTACTTTGTTAAGTCGTCGTTTGTAACCTGTTCTAACTACCTTATAGAATTGTATATTTGCAGAGACTTTAAAGTTCTTGAAATAATAAGAACTACATTTTAAGTAATATTTTTCGTAATAATAGCAAAGTCGTAATAATAGCAAGTCTCGAGTTAGTGATTAAGATAGTCCCAACAAGTTATTGATAAATTATGATTTTTGATTGTATTTTACATTAAACTACCTACAATCTTCTATGTTTTTTCATTTAAAATTCCACTTCGTATTTGAATATTTCATTTTTATATGCGTTAAACATTTTCTCTAGTTGGAAAGCACCTTCTTGTTAGAAAACAAATACAGTTGTATAATTGCTTAACTTCACATGATACAAATTTAAAGTGTTTATTAAATTTAAATCACAAATTCACGTTCATCGGTAAACTTAACATTTGATATAACAATGTAAAAATAAAAATAATATTTCATTAATCTAAATGAAAATAAGAGCCAATAAAAGATTTAGCAGTATTTATAAAATAAAATGTGCAATGCGATTATGAAAAAAGGTTCTTATTTTAGGAAGAATTAGACCCAAATACAAGAAAAACAGAATGCTATATTTGTTTTATTCTACGAAAAAGAGAGTGTGGTTTAAATATATAGGATATTTTATATATTATATCTTATGTTTAAAATACATTATCCCTATTGTATTAAATAATTCTTAACTAGTTACTGGTAGTATAAAAATATAAAAGTAACCAGGCATTTTATGTACAATATTAGTGATAAAATCGCAAAAATTATATACAAGTAGACATCTTCTTAAAAGTATACCAAAAGGACGTTGTTCTCCATCGTTTCGCTAAGTGCACCTCCTGTTTTCCAGGGCGCAAAAATGCGGGATTGTACTTGGGAGAGTTCGAGCACATCCAGCTCATTTGTAGACTTTTGTGGACTCTGTTTCCAGAGTTCTCAGTTGCCCACTAGATTTTCATGTGTGTGCGTAGGAGGACCTCAGTTCACTCGACTATTTACGAGGCCAGTGTAGCGCTCCTGATATATGTATATAGCATTTTCCCTGCATGTCCTGCCTCCCCGGCCCCCCTTTCGAGCTCTCCACCAAGCTGAGAGTCAATGAAACTTCTTTGTCGGAGGAGCAGCAACGAGAACGCTCCGCGTGTTTTCAGAATGAAATCAAAGTGGGATATTTAAAGCCTCATTAATCAGACCGTCGCTTTGCTGAGGAAAATCCTCGCTAGGGAGACTCGAGGTCCTCGAGAGGTCCTGAGTGACCCCATTCATCGGGGCTGGGATTAGGGCTGTGGGCGGAGTCTGGTGTTGATGCGCTCGTTAAATTCAAATTTGTTGCACTGATAATTACACAGTTGGCCATCGAAGGGGACACTATTAAGGTTAGTCATTTGCCAACTTGGTTATGAAATCCAAACCAAGGCAGCATTTCAATTAGCTTCTTTTTAAATTGGGAGGAATCTGTGTTTCCCATACATATTAGCAGGGAATTCAGCTTGATTTGGTTCGATTTGGTTTATCAAACTGGTCCTGAGTTTTGATTAAGTAAAAGATATACGGTTGTCAATATAATGTCTTAATAAACTTTGTTTTAAAATTAAAGTATTGAACAGGATTGGCTTTCTGAGATAATATTGCTTATGATTATGATGATAACTTAATGGAAAAGTTACAAAACATAATTTGGATAAATAATCAATATTCTATCAAATGTTTGCTATTTCAGAGTTTAGGTAAATCTCAAAATTACTACTTCTTGAGCATAATTCAGATAGTTCATTAGGCAGATGCAACTGTAAAAAACTGAAGAATTTTTGTGACATTCGCCATTTTTGTTTTTTGAATCCGTCATAAACGGCCAAAGAAATGTGAAATGAGAAATGCAAGCTGCTGGCCGGCTCTAACGAAGGAAACCCATTGTCCCATTCTTGTTTGCCATTTTTAATTTATGGCCCATATTTTCCTTTGGTTTTCCTTTTTTATGCGATGGCTACCTGAAGCGGTACAAACTCCGGGCCCAACAACAGGTAAGAGGTCGCTAATGGTGGCAGCCTTGATAGAATTTCTCCCTAGCATATCATCTAACGTCATGGAACAGTTTTGAAAACGTCTCTTGACTTTGGTTTATCATCTAAATATTTGCGTTTATTTTGTAGATTAGCATGTACACCAAACGTTTTCTCCTCACGGGCCTTTCGTCCCGGCTTTTATTGTTGCATCGTGAGCGGCGGGGCAATTTGATGATTCGTCGTAATGAATGCTAATTAAACGCATTCGTTTTCTAGTTCACTTGGCAGGCGGCAACAAACAGCAACCAGCATCCAAGTCCGTTGCTAAATCGACCAGAGCCGCCACGATTTGGTATCGGTACATACTATATGTACCCGTTTCATTGTCTTCGGCGGGGCAGGAAAGTGTGTCAAAAATTCTTGAGCGTATCCAGTGACACAGAGAAAAAACTTAGAACTGTTAAGCGTAAAATGATATTAGGGCTGCTAACGAGAAATACGTACTTCGGTAGCTAATTACGTCTTATCTGATAATTATCTGTAAATGTTGAATGATAAGTATAAAAGCCACAACTTTTAAACTCTTAAATTTATTAAAATCTTTATTAATAAAGGTAAATTTCGCTACAAATAATCATTTTTTCTCTCCGTGTTCAGAAAACGGCCAACAATAAAAGCCGGGCTCCTCGTTTTGCCGCCGGAGTCTAGCAAACATCGCACTCACACAATCTCTATCGAAAACTCGCAGACACATATCCGTGGAGTAGTAGATACGGTAGTATCTATAGATACAGAAAAGCGGAGGAACGTTGTACAGCACACAATTTGGGTAAGGCCACATCCACGATGTCGACAGTAAATGGAAACACAAATAAAAGGTGCTAATTTCATGAGGGTTCAATTAGATGTTGGCCTGGCTCTGGCTGCTGTACGATTTCTCTTCGAGAGTTCATAGATTTATTTCTCTGCCATGCACGACTTGTTAGAACCAAAAAGAGACTCGAATCAAAGCAGAGTGTGTGATATAGTTTATATCTCAAATTGAACGCAACAAAAATAAAACATTAATGCTATAAATTTATTTATAAAAAAAAATTAAGTCCGCCCGAACAGGGACTTGAACCCTGGACCCTTGGATTAAAAGTCCAATGCTCTACCGACTGAGCTATCCGGGCATTTAACCACCACGATGTCAAACTGTCTTGATGTACTTAGGGCTCATAAAAGTACTACTGCTCTAGCAAAGAAGCAGAAAAGAGCTTTCAGTAAGAGCTTCAAAAAGCTTAATATTTTTGGCAACCTGGAAATTGAAAGAGACGGCTGTTTTTCTCATTTATAAAAAAATGTTAATATAATATAAAATATTATATATATATATTGCATATTTTGTTGTACAGTGAAATAATAAGTATAACTAAAATGGGAATTTAATTTTAGAACATAAAAAACATTTAAGTCTTGTTTCGTTTTAATTTTTAAATCATTTGAATCCATGTACACAGTACTTAGTGTCTACTGTATGACTTCTCTATCGAAAAAATACTTTATCGATGCTAAGCAGTAAATGACTACTGCGTTACCTTCCATTTGACACTGCTTGCATCCATATCTAACTGCTTATACACTGAAAATTTTTTAAGTGCCTGGCTTTTAACTGTTGCCAATTAGGAAAGGAATACATATCTTTCTACATTTATCGATCCTTTTATATTGTCAAAATTATTTGTCAAGCTTAACATTTATTTTAATAGAAAACAGATGCCTTTTATACCCAAAACTAAAAATACATGAAAGGACTCACACATCTGTATGTATAGCATATATACATATACATATATATAGAAAAGTTTTCAAGTGGGATATTAGATGCCAGGAGGTGGAATCAACGTTCGTATATCTAACGTTTCTGGCGCCAGACTGACATATGCCCGGATAGCTCAGTCGGTAGAGCATTGGACTTTTAATCCAAGGGTCCAGGGTTCAAGTCCCTGTTCGGGCGGCAATATTTTTTTTGGTTAAGATCATTTATGTTTTTTTATTAAATATTTAAAAATATTTAATTAAAGCTTTTGAAAATAAATATCTTATATTATAAAACAAAACGAACATTAGTCACTTCTTTTCAAATTAGTTTTGCTCGCTAATAATTTTGTTTCTGACTTAGAATGGGGAAAACATAATAATTAGCATCAGGTTTAAAAAAATGTAGTGGTAGGTAGTCATTGGCCAAATAAAAAGTCCAATAATGTAAAACGAAAATACGTTCTAAAAATATTTAAATATATTCCAGCTTACACGGATCAATTTATTTTCCTGATTAGATTATGTAGAAAAAAATAAATAACTTAAGCGAAATGTATTTTACAAGTTAATATATGTTATTTTTTATTTGGGGATAACGATTTCCGATATTGATATTGATATTGATACAATACATCGGCAGTAGTTAAGTGCTCTATCAGCACATAGGATACTCGTAATAGAAGTAGATAAATTACATATTTTATATAGAAAATATGTAAGTGGTCATTTTTAGTTTCCCAAAAGAAAAAGAAATATTTGTGTGGTTTCAGGTGGCTAGAAGATTTCAATTTAACAATTTGTGGGAAAAATAAAAAAAAACTACATAGGCATAACGTAAGTGACTCACCGAAAAAGTACTTTGCAAT